TTTCAATTTTAATGTATGTTTGAAGATGCTTTTAATAAAATGTTGGAGGAAAATCACAAACACAAATAAAATTATTGGTATTTCAAAGGGTTGTAAGAATTAATAAACAGAAATCTCACTTAAATTGAAATAGGGAGGTCAGAATAAAAAGTTCTCACATCCTGCCTGGATCGCAAAGCAGAACAGCAGAAACCCTGTTTGTAATAACCCTTCTCAACTTCCTTTTTGTCTCTATGAAAGAGCTTCCTCTTTGTTTTAGCGGACTTACACATGGCTCACCATGGTTGCATGTACCAGGCTGCAATTCCTTGTTCCTAAATAAACCCATTTTGCTGAAGAAATACATGGCTAACTTGTTTTATGGTCAACAGGGTTTACCAGCAAGTTGAATATGGGCTGTGAGAATGAGTCAAGAACAATTCCTAGTTTTGGGTCATGAAAACCTCTGTGAATAGTGATTCCATTTACTGAGTTGGTGATTATTAAAAAAAAGGAGCAGATTCTATCCCAGGCTTCAGTTTGAAATATTCTTATCAGACATCAAGCAAAGGTGTCAAATAGTCAACTGGATCTATCAAGCACTGTCCAGGCACTGGAGCTACAATGGTATATATGAGAGCCAAACTGTAGCCTAATAGAACTTATATTACTCCACACAATAATTAGGAACATTTGAAAAGTATCAGTTTAAAGATGGATTTAAAACCCATGCAACTAGATAGAAGATCTTAAGGATTAAGTGCAAATAAAGTAGAAAACACTAAAGCTTGAGGCCTAGGTTACTCTAACACTGTTTTCAGTTAGAGATAGGTATTCTGGGTGAGTATGCTACACTTTAGATGCTATATTAGATCTCTATTATGGTAAAGCACACTGCTGACACATTAAAAAGTTTGTGAGAATTTCCCCTAAAAGACTTTATGTAAGGATTCATTCATGTTTTATTTAATAATTAAAAAACAAGAGGAAAATTAGTATCAATATCAAAGTAGTGATTTAAGTTGATACATCTATACCTGAAATACTCTAAGAAACATAACAATACTTTCCTTTAGAAACAAATCTACAAAATGGTACTCTGTAAATTTCCATTGTCTGCTTGAACTATGCCCTGTAGGCTTCCGTCTGCCTAAACTGGAAAAAGATAGGCTCTATAAGAACAAGTCTGCAGAAAGTTATACAGCATGATAAAAGAAAAATGATGAGTCAAGATCCCAACCGTATATACCCAAAGGTAAAACATTATTGCAGATTTTCTAAATTATTCAACAAACACCCTCACCTATTTCTCCACCAGGTCCAAAAAAGGAGCAGTTGGAAGAAGAAACAAAAGAGAAGGAAGAAGAAAAAGTGGAGGAGTTGGAGGAGAAATAAGTAAAAGAAGACTCTTTTTTTTTTCTAATGCTCTACAAACACCAAATTGTACATGGGAAGTAAATGTATCCCCGGTAGATTGCAGGAACTACTGACGTAGATATTACTAGATACACACATCCAACATACATAAGCTCCTTTCATTACTATAGATGTATCCAAATTGATGCAATGTGCTTACGTATCCATATTTTTATTATCAAAGATGCTATTTTATACAGGCTGCTCAAGGATGAGATGGCTAGAATTGTTCTTTCCATAAATCATGACTTTTTTTCTTTTCTGTAAGGTACTCTTTTTTGATGTTCTAAGAAATCCTTTTGGTTTATGGTCCACATGTTGCCTGGAATCAAAGGTTATTCAAACAAAGCCAATTCAAACGTGGTATTACTGCACAGACCCAAAAACAAATTTCAGGTTACTTATATGCAATTCAAGTTCTAAAATGGACTACATATGGCTACAATAACAAGCCTATTACTGAAAGGAGCACTTTAGGAAAATGAATAAGCCTGTATGAGATTATACATCCGCACTTTACACACACATTATCTTGATCTCTCCAAATATAATGTGTCCCATTTCGTTTAAGAATATTTAAGGATTAAAGATGAGAAAACTATTTTCATTTTAAAAACATTTTTTCCACAAGTATTGTAAAATTATTGAATTGACAGATGTGTGGGATATACATGTAATTAAAAAGTCTTGTGATGGTTCATTTTAGTTCCCTGCAAATGGTTGCAAAACCATATTTTTTTAAAAAATAGAATCTGGAGAACAAAGGTGAAACTCAATACATATTCTCCTATTATTTAAAGAAAAATCTGCATTTGGTTAATTAACCTGTATAAAATAATAAAATGTGTATCTACATCTCAAATAGAAAAAGTTTGCCTGTTGTTCTCAACTAACTTAATATTTATTCTCTATAGATTCCTACAGACACAAGATATTGAAAAATCATAAATAATATTAGCACATACCATCTATGAGGAAGAAAAACTCTAACATTTTTCATATACCATAAAAATGTACATATAAATAACCCAGCAAGCAAATTTCAATGCAAATCTATGTATCATTTGTCACTGAATACAATTAATTTCTATGTCTAGCACAAGGATAGTCAGTATATCTTTGAAATGGTACAAGGCTCTCTGAATTTGAAATTCATGGGGGGAATGAGCACACACTTCTAAGAGGAATAATAAGTAAACAGAAATCATAGAATTCTGGAAGAGTAAGAAAGCTTAGAGATCCTACCAAGAAACCCTCTCATTATTCTGTGAACACTTAGTGCCAGGGTGTTGAAATGGCCTAGAGGGCAGTGTTGTCTACATCCCAAATTTCCAACAATCCCCATGGAGAGGCTGTCATCATTCTGGAGTAAATCAAAGGCAATTCAGTGACAAATGTATGATTTACATAGTGATTCAGTAAGTGTCCACAATTTTCCTTTGCTTTTGACATAGATGCTCAATACAAAAATTAGTTACGTACACGCACACGCACACACACACACACACACACACACACACAAATTTAATGCTGCCTTTTCAACTCTCAACCCTTTTTTACTATATTTTTTACAACATTATTATGAATTTTGCTGAATAATTTTGGCCCAGACATAAATTCCTCCTTTATCCTATAAAATTATTCAGAACAAAGGTCCTAGGTGTGTCTCTGGGGCAGGAGGGGCAAGGTGGTGGGGGAAGGAAAGAAAGAAAGGAGAGATAGAAGAGAGAGAGGCAGGGTAAAAGAGAGGGAGGGAAGGAGAGAAATGATGTCTTGCTACTGCTGTTCCAGCAAGCTGGTTAATTGCATTTGTTTCATATATCTCCAAAACTCTGGAACATTAATTACATTCTGTAATACCAAGCTCTTCTGATTCTCTCTGTCACTTCCACTGAGCAATTTAATTGTATTACTCCTAGCCATACACTGATTTGGAAAAAAAAAAAAAAAAAAAAGCCTTGGTGAAAATTCTGCGTTCTAATAATATATAGTTACTGCATGTATTTCTGATATTGAACTATGTAAATTAATGTCTTATAATGACATGTCATCTAAAAAGTTATATGAAAGTCATCATGAAAATGAAACACATTTGAAAAAACATGTAAACCTTTTTGTTTACAATGTAATGTAATATAATGTAAACATATTATGAAGGTAAATGTATTAAAGAAAGCGCATGGTGAATGATTAAATATGATTATAGATATTGCCACACTATGATTCACAATTATTAATTCTTAAACATCTACTACTTAGAAGAGAAAAAGAGAGAAGCAGCACTGTGCCCACGAGAATGCCTTCCCTACTATCGCTGGGGGCAAAGGTACTCATGTGGTCCACGATTGAAAACAGCCACTTGACAGTAGGTAAACTCATCTGTATTGCCTCATGTTTATAGGAAGGCTTCCTTTTTTAGTCCAATACATTGGTTTTGGTGCAGCAGTAGCTGCCAGGAATAAAGTTAGCTCCTACAGGCAATGTCCCAAATAATGAATTTGTCCACAATGCATATGCTGGAGGAAAGTTTATATAGCAACAAGCAACTATGATGGCTCAAATATTTGGATCAGTACACCTCAGATTCTTTGCAAGTACAATAATTTAAAAACTAATGTACCATAATTCACATTTTTGAGGGGGTGGGAATCCTCTAGTCTTCTCTTTAAACCAATTATTTCCACTGATATAAACATTTTAAGTCCCTAGAAGACTAATACCAAATGTCCTTTTGACTTTCTTCTTTGAACAAGCAAAAAAAGCGTGTTAATGATTACTTCTACTTGTCATTCAAAAGAGCTCCAAAAAAGAAAAAAAATTTTTTTTTCAGTCCTCTCTCAAGAAATTGACTTCCAATGAAAATATCCCAGAAAACCAAATCTGAACAAAAGACAGGAGAATCAGAGGCAGAACACCGTGCTGCTTGACAGACTGACTCAACGAAGAGGGAGACACCTCCAGCACCTGTTTCGGATCCCCATTGTGTTTGCCCCTGGGGACAGAGCTAAGTGTTCCATGCCCATAGCCTGCCCAGAGCTTATGCTTCCCTTTTCCTGGAGCCTTGCCCAGACTTACTTTTGATAGTTTTCTCCCTATGATCTAAATTCTTCATTCTGATTTCATTCTAGGAGGGTACTCGCTAGAACGAAAGGGATACACATTGATCCCCGAGAGACCCTGTCCCATATTCCTAACCCATTGAACATTTATTAGAGCATCTATTATTATTATTTTTCTTCACTTGAATTTCTAAGCCAAAGTTCAGATACAAGAACACCAAACAGAGAGCAACACCAGAGTATTAGACTCATTCAAGAGATTTACTTTAAAATTTCTTTTTCTAACAAAACAATGAACTCATCATTTATTAACCAACTCCTCTATTAGTTAAGTAAATTATAACAATAGGTGACTACTAACATGTTCCACTTGCAGTAGTTTAGAAACAAAAGATTTAAAATTTCTGTCCCCAAACATTCCCCATACCTGGACTAATACACATAATGTCATTTTATTCATAGTCTACATTGCATTCAGAAAGAAACATTTTGTTTTGTTGGGTTTTTTTGGGGTGAGGGGGAGGAATAAAAGCATTTTTAACTTACCATCTACCCGAACATATAAAAATCCACAGAGTAGTAGTTGTGTAAACATCAGCCGACTCATTTTGACATATTAAAAAGGATCCAGATTGTTAAGAAACCAATCCCAGAGAGCAAAAGTACAAAAATAAGTATCAAAAGGAGAGGTAGGTCCAAAGTTCAGACTTTTCTAGATGCTAATTAAAGTCAAGAAGAGCAAATCGCAAGATCAGAAGGGGTTAGTGGAGAGATCTTGAGTGGGCACATTTAGATCCATCCAAATTAACCGTTGGCACTCCAAAGGCTGCTGTATTTCCACATTCTGGCTTCTTAAATTCCCACAAATTCAGCCCAGCCGTTGGGATTATTCAAGAGTGTCTAACGCTCACTCCTCAGTCTCCACTGCAATCCAAAGTCAAGTTCTTTCTTCAGAAGTCAAAAAGATGAAGGGAGAGAAAAAAGACCTAATTCCTAGAAAGTGTTCCACAAACTTGCCAGCGCGCTGCCGAAAAATCATTGGCCTGCCTACTGGTTTTCTTCCCCCGGGTCTCCTTCTCGGTAGCAGCTCCACGTCCAGAGTTTTTTTTTTTTTTTTTTTTTTTCACTTAACTTCCATAGTCAGGATGTGTCAAAGCAACACTTTGCAGGCAGGCCGACTTGGCGGGCCTCTGCTTTGCAGCCTTGTTGCCTCCCTTCACCTCTCTCCTTTCAAAAAGAGAGGCAAAGGGAAATCAAGACGACTTGGGTGGAGAAGGCGAACTCCTGCGTGGTGGGGCTGTAGGGAGGGAGGGAATAAGGGAAGGAGGGGAGGGAGGGACAGAGCTGAAACTGCTGCCACCCCCGCGGTGCCGCCACAGAGCGACAGTGAACACAGGCGGCTGCGGGCCAGAGCGAAGCGCAGCGAGTGAGCTCAGGAGGTGGGGAACGGAAGAGAAAGGGAGTTCGCGGTCCAGCCGCCAGCTTGGGTCCCGCCGCCAGTCCCCGGGTCCAACTGCCGCTGCTCCCGCGGTCCCGCAGCAGAGCGTCCGCCTCCTCCTGCAGCTGCGGGCGGTGGAAGGACTTAGAAGAGGGAAAGCGAGGAGGCGGGAGGGGAGGGGAGGAATGAAAGCTGCAAGGCGTCTGCCCCGGGGAGGGGAGAAGAATGTGGGGGTGCTCTGAACCCTCTACCTCCGCACTCCGCTACGAGTCCGTGCAGGGGGCGCCAGCCGGCTAGGCAGCGAGTGCGTGCGCCGGGTGGGGGCGGTGGGGGGAAGGACTGGAGAGCCGAGGGTCCAAGGGGGACGAAAATTAACAAATTCGGAGCCGAGGCCACGGATCAACTCCTTCCCCTTTTCTACGCCTCCTGGTACCCCTCCTTCCCGCCTCGGGAAGCGATAGGTGGACTCTAGCCTCCTGCTCCTCGCCACGTCCGGTTTAATGGGCAGGTAATTTTCTCGGTGAGTGATTTCATGGAAGCCTTTCCTAATTATTCACCCTTCCGTCTGCCGAAGATGCACGCGCTTTCTGGAAAAAGATCATCCTCCAGGACCCAGGGCGCAGCCTCATTACCCGTTAAAATCACACAAGCACTCACTCTTCACCTTTTAGCAAAATGAGAAGGTGAGCGGGAGGGAGAAAAGGAAAAGAAACAAAATTATCCACCTTTTGGAGCGGAAAGGTTGTGTGGGCGTGCTTCCTACGTCGTTAAAAAGGCACAAGAAAAAAACAGGGGTGGGTGTACAGAAATCTCTAGCCTCCACTGGCTTGTTTTAGCTAAGATCTATGGCCCCCCGAGGAATCCGGGATGGGGGGAGGGTTGGCGGGGAAAAGGTGGCATTTCCTCTTCTTTTATTCGGTTGCCTAATGACCCCTCAAAGATGAGTGTGACGCAGATTGTGGGATGCAAGGGAGTTGAGCAGAAGACGTTTAGGATGGGGAGCGGGGATCAGAGAGCTTGGGGGTGAGGGTACCCGAAGCTCTCACCCTTCAGAGTAAGGAGGGTACCTCTTGCAGGGACAACCGGGAAGCAGAGGTCGAGGAAAGCTGACAACCCGACTAGGTTAATAGAAGCTCAAAAAGAGCCGAATTCCAGCCCAAAGGTGACAAAACCCTGAAAATTAACCCACCAAATATAGGCCATTCAGGACTGGGGATGATTAAGGAAGGCCACATTAGATCAAAGGGATGCCGGAATCTGCCGTGCCGCCGGTGTGGCCAGTGCGGCCGGGCCCACGTGTGATCACAGACTCTCTGGTAGCTGTTTGATGCTTGTTCGGGTGATTAGAAGGCAGGTTATAGAAACTCACGCAGATCTCCAAACCCAACTAAGTCCTAGACGGTGAATCTTTAGTTCCCCCTACTGGAAAATATTAGGAAAGATTCCCTCCGTTTTATGAGGCCGTTTGAGGCTATTGGTGGAAAAGCCTTTTGTTTGGTGTACACATTTTGGTATAGCATCTTAATTTAGCTCTCCCTTGCCTATTGTGTACGTGAAATTGTGTGTTTCAAAAAAAAAATGGCCAGCTACATTCAAGCAATTAAGAGAGTTCTTATGGCACCTCAGCATGCTCGAAAATTATGGTAATGAAACATTCCTGCAAAAGAATAAAACAAGCCACTTTTCTTGTGAAGCATTAAGAGTAATTTAAGCACACTTTTGATCTACATTATTTAGGTGTAAAAAAATGCATTAGTGTGCTGAATTTAAATCACTTGCATTCTTACAGTCATAATTCTGAATTTATTATTGTTTTACCACTATGAAAAAAGACTAAACTTTTTTTCTTCAAAGGGTCAAGTTTAAATTAGGTAATACTGTTGTCTTGGAAAAGTCAAAAATTAATTGGGTTACCATCTCTCTTAACTATCTGTAATACTGAAAAATAATTGATGATTCTTTAAAACTTTCATTTCACACATTCTGACTAGGTTTAAATTCAAAGATTGGAAAGTCTACCTCATTTCTTTAAATAATGTGCTTCCATCCCCAGTCTCTATCTCAGTCAAATTTCCTTACATGGGTGCAATAAAACACATTTGGAAAATAGAGTATCCCTAATAAAATAACGCAGAAATTAACAAATTACACTGACTTAAAACTCTTTAATTTTAAGATAAATTTCAGAAGGGAAAATATTGAAATATTTCATCTGGGAGAGTTTTTCATGGCTACTCATTTATGGGGCAAAAAAATAGATTTGATTTCATGCTTATTATATTCACCATCTATAGATACTTTTCCTTAAGTGATTTATAAAACCACTCAATGACAGAAAAGGTATGTGTGGGAAGTAGGGGCAATAGGTTGAAGGAGAAAAATGGGCAGAAAAATGCTGCCTCATATCTCACAGAAAGTTGTCCTTGTGTAGAGTATGACAAATCACCTTATACAGAGAAAAAGTTTATTTAAGAGACATCTCTTTGGTTATACTATTTGCTTGGGATTTGGGGCCAAGCATCATCATTTTGCATTCATAATTACCTACTAAAAGTGACAGAGCACATCACTGATTTCAGTCTGATGCTACATTTTCCCCATGCATTACCTACATTATGTAATACTGTCTAAAAGAAATTTCGGGGTCTATATTCTCTGCTTTTCTTAAAGATAAACTCATAAATGATGTTTTAAAATAATATTTTGTCGGTATCTCATTTGATATGAAATGGTACCAAGAAAAATTGATGATTTTATAGGAATCTCATACCAAATGATAGTTTAAGATTATGACCAAAACTCTCATACCACATAAGCAACAGTAATAGTAAGAATAGTGTCGACAGACAGAAATGTAATATGGACATTAAATATAGGGGAACAAAGACATCACCTTCCGGGAAATTTGATAAGATCTGTATATAGAAATGTGTATTTCAATTAAATTAAAACCTGAATGTTCTAGTAGAAGTTGGAAATTCAATTTTAACAGTGTCAGCTTTAAAAAAAACTTTTTTTAGGTTTTCATTAAGACAGAAAGCCAGAAATGGCTTAGAACAATGAAGCCTCACCACCACCAAATTAGAAGGTTTAAGATACAGAAAATTGAATAGGCATTTGGCTTCAACATCTTTCCAAATACAAATTGTTTTTTCTTCTCTAAACAAGCAGCTGAATAAAGAGAAATGTACATGGAAATCTAGGCTCCTTTTATGTAAAACTTGGAATGGTATTATTATGAGCTCAAAATGTGCCTACCAGATAAACATATATTTTAATACATCTAAATACGACTATGTGTGAGACTATAATTAACCCTAATTTGGGTAAGGTGATCAAATGGCCTTCTTTGTGATTGCACTTCTGAGTTGGCATTCAGGGAGAACCATAAAATACCCATCTGAAGGCAATCTGCACAATATAGGATATAAAATAGTAAATATTTATTTTCCATACCAGATTCTCTAAGGATGTAGTATAAATCGAAAAACGCCAGTTCATTATTTTTACTCTTTCCAACATTCTCTCATTACAATTGCAAAGTGATATATGTAAATCAAAGGTTTGATCCATGGTAATAATTTCAATATCTGCTACAATGTGGTGAGCACTTGCTATATGTCGGGGGTGATTGTAGTTTTTTAAAATTCATTATACCTTTTAATTCCATAAGAGCCATATGTGGTTGATATTATTCCCATTGCACAGATGAGAAAAGTGAAGGTTACATAAATAACCGAAGTTATTAAAAGCTGCAATCTTCCTTTGAATCTAAATCTGACTACAAAATTTATGCTTCTAAGTGCTAAACTATGCTTCCCAGGATTATTTTAAGACAACTTCCACATGTAGAAATTCTGTAACACTTTAATAAATTGCTTTGATTGATCAATTTAAGAGAATCCTTGATGCACCAAAACATACAGAAATATGTGACCAGTTTTTGTTTCCAAAATTGAAGAATCTTTTTAAATCCAAAAGAGTACTGTTTGTTATCTGTTCAGTTTGAAATTTTCTATGTAACATTGTCTTATACTACTATGCAGAAACACTACATTTAGATGAAAGGTATAAATCATATCTACAAAAGGACACAGGGCAATTAACATAAGGGAAGCATTAAAAATCCAGATCACATGAGGATGACTCATTCGCTCCTAGGTGTTTTGTTTTGTTTTGTTTTGTTTTTTAATTCTCTCCACCTTGTTCCAAAAACAATTTGAAGGAGACAAGATAAATTGCATATTGCTCTTCTGAAATATGTTCTAAATTTCTGATGTCAACCAATTCATTTTCAAGTATCCACTAATATTTCTCTCTGTGTAATAAGTCTGCCTCTATATGTATCCATCTATGATTAGCACTTTTGGTATATTACATGGAGTTACTAAAATATTCTATTTTTAAAGATCTAAGATTTAAGTTGACTGAAACACAGCAGTAGTTCACAAAAATAAACTGTTTTCTGCCAAATTCCATCACTTGTGGTCAAAAAGGATTTTTCTTCTGTAAAATCAATTTGGAAAATTATTTTCTATCTTGATTGAAAATTTAGTAATACTTTCAAACTTAACACAACTTTTGAATAAATCAAATATTATAGTAAATAATAATATTTTGGCATAATTTTTCTAAGTGCATATATCTTAAAATTTGGAATTTTAAAAACACATTAAGGTATCTCAGAGTTTATGGTTGAGATTTTGTCTTCATAATGCCAGTTCTCCTCATTCTGTGGTTGCCCATTTCCCCCTCCTTCCATCTTAGTAATGAATGAAACTTCAACCTCTGACATAGTTAAAAAGTAGCTCTTTGATAAGGAAGATAACCTCTATCTAGATTAGGAAAGCGTTTTCAAAAATAAGCAAAGTTTTCAGCCTCACAAAAATACAAAATTATCTCCAACTGTAACTCTATCTATGTGGCCTCAAACCCGTGACAGGTTAGACTTCATATGTGTGTACATTTTTTCCTGCTTATTATTTTATTATTTCTATTTAAAACTCTCATGTTCTTACTTTAGTACATAGCCTAATTTCAATGATGTTAAATAATACACTTTTTTCTATTTTTACACCACAATATCATGAACCCAAGAAAATTCCTTTGATTCTTTGCCAAACTATTTTAAGTCCATCTGCTCCAATTTGGACTTCGTATAATTGAATTTTAGT